TGAAGTAAGGAAATGACACCAGATGGTAATCGAATCCACAGGAAAAAGTGTAGAGAACCAGACACGGTAAAGAAGAAGATAAATATAACAAACTCTATACCTTGTACTTCCTCTCTTTTTTTCTCGTCTTCATTAATAGATGAAAATTATAGTAATTATAAATTAAAGTAATTATAACAGTATATTTTTGGGTCTGTATCATACACATTTAATATGTGTGACAATAATAGCAAAAAAGGAGAAAGAGGAAATAGAGCTGGATATGAGGAACCTTCCTTTATCTCATTTAAATTAAGTTAGTACAAGTCTAAGTAGATTCTTATAAGTTAAGATGCGTGCAATAAGCCACAGGGCAACAACTAAGAAAATAACTCAAAAATATATTAAAAAATCACTCAAAGAATTACACTATTAGAAAATATTCCCTTAATATACAATGCATGCAGTAAAGAAGAACTAGAGGGAAAAGACATGAGACATTTAAAAACAAAGAGAATGGCAGACACAAATCCAAATATATCAATGAAAACATTAAATGCAAATAAATTCTAAAACTTAATCAAAAGGTAGAGATTGTCAAATTGTATTTAAAAAATCCAACTACATACCATCTACAGGAAACACACTTTAGATCAAAAACTACAAACAGGTTGAAAGTAAAGAATTTATCATGCAAAGAACAACTATAAGAAAGCTGGAGTGGCCATATCAATATGAGGCAAAAATAGATGTTAAAACAAAATCGTTGTGAGTGATGAAAGGGGAGAGTTTATAACAATAAAAGGATCAATCCATCAAGAAGATATAACAATTATAAACATATACACCTAGCAACAGAGTCCTAAAATATAGGAAACAAAAACTGAAAGAATTGACGGGAGAAATAGATGACTCAACAGTAACAGCTAGAAGCTTCAATACCCCTCTTTCAATAATAGATACAACAAGCAGGCAGAAAATAAACAAGCAAATGGAAGACTTGAATGACACTGCAAACCAACTACACCTAATGGACACCCACAGAACACTATCCAACAACAGCAGAATACACATCCCTCTTAGCTGTACAACAATGTTCTCCAGGAGAGACCATACTCTGGGGCGTAAAGTAAGGCTCAGTAAATCTAGAAAGATTAAATTCTTACAAAATGCTATTCTCTGATCAAAATGGTGTGACATTAGAGATGAAAACACAAAAATATTTGGAAAATTCACAAGTATGTGGAAATTAGGCAATACATTCCTAAATAACCACTAGATCAAAGAAGAAATCCCAAAGGAAACTAGAAAATACCTTAAGATGACTGAAAACCAAAACACAATACACCAAAATTTCTGGAATACAGCAAAAAGCAGAGATTGGAGGGAAATTTATAGCTGTAAAAACCTATATTAAAAAGAATAAAGATCTCAAATCAATCATCTAGCCTTCTACCTTAAGAAACTAGAAAAGAACAAATAAAATTCAAAGCAAGCAGACACGAGAAAAAATAAAAATGAAACTGGAAATATATAAAATAGAGAATAGATATAACAATAGAGAATGTCAATGAAAAGTTGGTTCTTTGAAAGCGTCAACAAAATTTACAAACTTTTAGCTAGACTGGCCAAGAAAAAAAATAAAGAATACTCAAATTGCTAAAATCAGGCATAAAAGTGGGACGTCACCATTGACCGTACAGAAATAAGAAAAGATTATAAAGGAATACTATAAACAACTGCCTGGCAAAAAATTAGAAAGCGTAGATGAAATGGACAAATTCCTAGAAAGACACAAAGGATCAAAACTGACTCAAGAATAAATAGAAATCTGCATAGACCTACATCAAGCAAAGAGACTGAATTAATAATAAAAAATTACCTACCAAAAAAGGTCCAGGAAAAGATGGCCTCAGTGGTGAATTATATTGAGTATTTAAAGAAGAATTAATACCAAGACTTTGCAAATTCTTCCAAAATATAGAAGAGGATTAAACACTTCCCGACTCATTCTGTGAGGCCAGTATTACCCAGACACGAAACCAGACAAAAATATCACAAGGAAAGAAAACTACAAACAATATCTCTTATGAATACAGGCACAAAAATCCTCAAAAAAATATTAGCAAACCAAATCCAGCAAGATAGAGAAAAAATTATACACTGTGATCAAGTGAGATTTATGGCATGAATTTGAGGTTCATTTGACACCCTAAAATCAATTAATGTAATATACTATATTAGTAGATAATGGAGAGAAACCACATGATCATCTCAATAGACACAGAAAAAGCATTTGACAAAATTTAACACCCTTTCAAAATAATAAAAATAAAGAAGGAAAGCACTAAAGAAACTAGGAATAAAATAGAATTTCTGGTAAAGGGCACTACAAAAACCTACAGCTAACATCATACTTAATGGTAAAATATTAAATGCTTTCCCTCTATAATGAGGAACAAAACGAAGATGTCTTCTCTCACCACTTCTATTCAGGTTCTAACCAACCAACTAGGCAAGAAAGTGAAATAAAAGGTGTCATACTGAAAAAGAAGGACAGCTCTCTCTATTTGCCAATGATGTAATCTTATATAGAGAAAATCCTAAAATATCCTCTAAAAACTATTAGAAATAATAAATGAATACAGCAAGGTTACAGAATATAAGATCAATATATAAAAATCAATTGTGTTTCTATAGAGTTGCAATGAAAAATTTGAAACAAAATTAAGAAAATCATTTCACTTCCAATAGTATCAAAAAGATAAATACTTAGGAATAAATTTAACAAAAGTAGTGCAAAACTTATACTCTGAAAAGCCAAAACATTACTGAAAAAAATTAAAGAAGACCTAAACCAAAGGAAAGTTTTCCCACGTACATGGATTGGAAGATTTAATTGTTAAATTGGCAATGCTCCCTAAATTGATCTACAGATTCAATGCAATCCTTATCAAAATCCCACTGGTTTCTTTGCAGAAGTTGACAAGCTAATCTTCAAATTCATATGAAAATTCAAGTTCCCAGAATACCCAAAACAATCTTAAAAAGAAGAAAGTTTGAAGACTCGCATGTCTTGATTTCAAAATTTACTACAAAATTATAGTTATCAAGACAGTCAGTTACTGCCATAAGGATAGACCTACAGATCAATGGAATAGGATTGATATCTAGAAATAAACCCTTACATTTATGGCCAATTGATTTCAATAAGTGTACCAAGACAATTCAATGTGGAAAGAGTAGTCTCTTCAACAAAGGGTTCTAGAGCAATTAGTTGGGCACATGCAAAAGAATAAAGTCAGACCGCTATGTCACACCATGTACAAACATTAATTTAAAATGTACCAAAGACCTAAATGTAAGACTAAAACTATAAATCTCTTAGAATAAAACATAAGTCTTCAAGACCTTGCATTAAGCAATTATTTCTTACATATGACACCAAAAGCACAAGCAACCAAAAAAAAGTAGATAAATTGGACATCATCAAAATTAAAACTTTTGTGCTTCAAAGAAGATCGAGAAAGTGAAAAGACAACCCAAACAATGAGAGAAGACATTTGCAAATCATATGTCTAATAGGAACTTGTATCTAAAATACATAAAGCACTCTTGCAATTCAACAGTAAAAAGAAACCCGATTTTTTAAAAAAACAAGTCTCTGAATAGACATTTCTCCAAAAAAAAAAGATATACAAATAGGCAATAAGCAAATGAAAAGATGTTCAGAGATATTAGACATAAGGGAAATTTAAATCAACACCACAGTGATATACCACTTCACACTCACCAGGTTGGCTATTACCAAAAGACAAACAATAAAAATGTTGGTGGGGATGTGGGAAAATCAGCGCTCTCATACACTGCTGGAGGGGATGGAAAATGATGCAGTCACTTTGGAAAACGGTTTAGCAATTCCTCAAAAGGTTGCATATAGAGTTATCATACTCCTAGAGAATAACCGAGAAAATGAAGACATATATCTACACAAAAACTTGTACATGAATGCTCATAACATCATTATCCGTAATAGTCAAAAGAGTGGAAACGATCCCAATATCCATCAACTAATGACTAGATAAACAAAGTGTGGTATAGTCACACAACAGAATATTATTTGACAATAAAAGGAATGGAGAACTGATACATGCTAGAACATGAATGGCACTTGGAAACCTTATGTTCAGTGAAAAAAGCCGGTTGCAAAATACCCCATATTATGTGATTCCATTTAAACAAAAAATCCGGAGTAGGCAAATCCTTAGGGACAAACAGTAGATGACTGGCTGCCTAAGGATGAGGAAGCTGAGGGCAAAAGGGGAGCAGCTTAATGGGCATGGAGTTTCTTTTTGATGTGATGAGAATATTTTAAAATTGACTATGGTGATGGTGCACAACCCTGTGAATATACTAAAAAACATTACATTGTACACCTTAAATGGATGAATTGTACAGTACGTGAATTATATCTTTGAAAAGCTGTTATTCAAAAAACTTATGAAGAAGAGTGGGAGAGGCAGAAAGAAAAAAAGCAATGGAAAGGGGAAACAGAAGGAGAAAGAGAAGGAAGCCTCGTTAAATTAGAACTAATAACAAATAGGAATCCAAGCAGAGACTTTGAGGCAAACACTGCGGAGATGGAGAGCTGTTAACTTCGGTGTGACTTGCACAAGCCCTTTCTCTTTCTCAGCCTCAGTTTACTCATCTGCAGAATTACGAGTTAGACCCATTCCGTCAGACATCTCAGGATCTATGTTTTTCTGACATCTCTGCCCATCTCCAAGGAGCTGTAAATACTGGATGAGTCAGTTATCTTCTGGGGGCTGCCATTATAAAATGAATTAAAAGCAAGAACTCTGCTCAGTCAGCCTGCCAGAACTTTCTATGCCCTGAACCCCTTCTCTACCAATTTCCCACTCCCCCAACTCTCTTTCTAACCCTTGATTTTTTGCTGCTCCCAAAGCTCATCCTGAAGTTAAACTGAGGCCTCTAGGAAGCCCAACCTTGGTCCATCCTACCTGGAGTCCCGTGTGTCTGGGATGGCACGATCGAGGGGCAACTGGTCACTGAGGTAAACGTTGTAACCGAACTTCTGGAAGAGGTCCTGGGCCCTTTTCTGCTGGGCCTCAGAAAGACCCTCGCCCCACTGCTGGAAAAGCTGTGAGTGTGGGAAGAGTGCTTTTCTGGGTTTGTCCTTCTTTGTGTCATTCGCCTTGGTTTCCACTACCTTTTCAACAGGATGCTCTCCATTTTCCATCCACTCCATTGTGTTGTCCACATCTTCTTGCTGCCTCATAGTCAATTTCATAATTTCTTCTGCAAATGAAGGGCAGAGGGGAAAACATTTCAGCCAACCTTAGTTACCTGGGCATTACTTTCCATCCAAATTTCCTTGAAATGTTTTCTCTCCACATTCTAAATCTACAAGCTTGTCCCAGAGGATGTGATATGTCAAGGGAACTTGTCAGAGCCATGCTAGGCTGTCCTGGGAAGGCATGTACTAGAACATACCTCTCCTTTCAGCCCCATCAGAACTTATCTATCCAGAGTCCCACACCTTCAAGATGCCTCTAGGAACTGTGATCTGAGACATAGATTGATAACAAGCTAATATTTTTCAGAATAAGACCCAAGAAGCACTTACATTAGAATCATCTGCTATGATTATTTAAAGATGTAGATATCCAGGCTTATCCTCAAATCAACTAAATCAGAATCCCAGGGTCAGGTGGGGATGGGGGTAGCAGAAGATACCAGAATCTGCATTTTTGACAAAATCAAGGAGTAATTCTTTTGTGCCATAAAATGTAAGAAACATCATCCTACACTATGAGTGCCTAACAAGGGTGAATCTATTCCACCCACCACCACCATTACCCACCTGCCCCTTCACTTCTCCTGCGTTTGATTCACTAGGAACTTTTAAATTGGAAATGTCCTAATCTCAGTTTGCAGCTTGCTTGGTCATAAGAATGTCTTCAAAAGCTTGTTAAAAATACAGAATCCAGGGCCGGCCCTGGGTAGTGGTTAAGTTCGTCATGCTCTGCTTCAACAGCCCAGACTAGTGGGTTTGGATCCCAGGCTCAGACCTACATCACTGTCAGCCATGCCATGGCAGTGACCCACATGCAAAATAGAAGGAGACTGGCACAGATGTTGGCTCAGGGTGAATCTTCCTCAAGCAAAAAAAGAGGAAGATTGGCAACAGATGTTAGCTCAGGGTGAATCTTCCTTATCAAAAAATAAAGACATACAGAATCCCAGGTCTCCTCCAGAGATTCTGATTCAGTAGGTCCATGGTGAAGCCTAGGAATCTGCATTTTTAACAATTGCTGCAGATAATCTAACGGTCATGTTAATTTGAGAAACACTGCGTTAACTAGAACAAATGAACAGTCACAGACCCAGGCAGAGGAGGCCTTCCAGGACCCATGACACCAACAGTAATGATTTTGGAAAATAGCCTACAAATTTCAGAGCGCTCTGCCATCCATTGCTTACTTCACCTTGACAAGAGCCCTCTGCCACTTCTGTCTGGAGAGTCTAGCATGTGCACCTTGAACACCCTCAAGCTCAATTCTGTGAACTCCACAGAGAAAGAGAAAAAAGTAATTATTTAGTGCAGGTGCTTCTGTCTGCCAATCCACTCAAAGACCCAATGCTTCTAAGTTAGGGCTGAACATATAATTCACTCATCAGATTGGGGCACTTTTCAGAGTGGATGGAGCACAGTTAAGAATTATGCAGCAGGTGTAACCAGGACAACAGGTGTAAACCAGGACTATTCCAGGACAACCAGGACTGACCAGCACCCTACACAAAGGAAGCAGGAGAATCTGTTAGTCTCTCAGGGGATGACTCAGCTTAGCCAAGTCTGATTCTGGTAATAAATATATCGTCCCCTCATTGCCGTCAAAACCAGTGTCCTTGTCCCCAAACACAAGGCCCATGATATAGCTCCATCTTGGAGCCTGGGCATGTGACCATTTGCCTGGGAATATCATGAATAGAAGAAAGAGAAAACAGTTTTGCCTGACTCTGCCTCTGGCTGCCACTGCCACTTGTCCCCGGCCAGGTTCCCCTCAGCTTGCGCTGCCTTGCTGCCATCATTTCTCTCTCAGTGAGCGCTTGCTGCATCACAGAATTACAGACAGACTCCAACAAGCTCCTCTACCTGTTCTCCAAACATAGGCACCCCCGTCCTGTCCTCTGTCCTCTCCTGATGATCTCGTCTATCCCCAAGGCCTTGCCTTTCCCCTCAAGGCAACTGTCGCCCCCCCCCACACACACAATCTGCAGCTTTAGACTCAGGCTGCTGAATCTGAATCTCACCTCTGCCGCTTACCAGTTGCAGGAGTTCAGCAAAGTATCTTAACTTGTCCACTTCCCCATCTGTAAAATGGGGGTGATAGCAGCACTTGCCACATAGATTTTTGGGAGAATTAAATGGGTTTGTTCACATAAAGCATTTACAACTGTGCCTGTTGATGTGGATCAAGGCTGCCCCAGGGAGAGAAGCCCAAGGCGTCCTGGCCTACTTGCTGATCTATATCACCCTCCGGGAAGCATGACATCCTGACCCGATTCGTATCTAAAGTTATGAGACCACATGATAACCAGACCCCACCTGCACTGATACCATTTTCACAACTTTTTTACATGATCTTTCCTTTGTCTTATAAAAAATAACTCACATGCCCATGCCTTATAATTTAGCCCCGCCCTCAACACACTGCAGCTCTTCACTGCCCATGGGTCCTGTCGCCATGCTATTCTCTGAATAAAAGAGCACTACCACTAGAACTTGAGAGTCCAAGAAATCTTTCGACTCCTTGGCTCGCAGAGCCCGTATCACCTGTCACTTAATACTCGGTCAATGTTAGCTACCATTGTCATCACTGTTATCATTATTATCCAAACTGGCTATTGGAGACATCTCTCACTTGCTGTTTTCCAAGTTCTCCAAATTCCTTATCAACTGAATTCAAGACCTTCCCCCCAAGTCTCCTGAGGCTCCGTCCCTATTTCTACAAATGGTACCAACTGCTCTCCTCCCACCCAGCCAGCCCCCAAACCTCAGGTCTCCTTTGACTCTCTCCCCACCCCCATTCGGTTGTCTATTCGTGTAGGGTCTACCTCTCCTGGGCAGAACTCATCCTTTTCTTTCCATTCTATTCCAGCTCGATTCCTTATTGCCTGTCACCTGGACTCTTCACTCACCAAAGAGTTAGTGAGCATCTACTCCAGCTACTTCCTAACCACGGCGGCCAACAAGATAGGCTGGCGACTTGCATTCCCACAGAGATGTTAAGAGGCTCCCTAACCAGGCTCCCGTCCCCTTCCGAACTGCATGACCACGGCCAGGGGATTTCGCTTCTCAGTGCTTTAGATTTACCAAGTACCTCAGGGGGCTTCTGTGATAACTAAGTGGATTAATACACATGGTGCCCTTAGGACAGGGCCTGGCACACAGTAAAGCTTGGCTCTTATTCTGGTTTCTCTGTTTCCTCTGCTAGAGGAGCCGGGTGAGAGATGAAGAAGGGTATTGAGAAAAGCGGAAAACTTTTTAAACTGTTATGCTAAGAAATGGGGGTGAGAACTGATTTGTGAAACATGGAAACACTGTGGGGCCAGGAGAGGGCCAGCTGAGGAAAATGACCCTGAATTTGTAGTGGCTCAGTTCTGGGAATTATTTCAGCAGTGCTTAGTACTGAGGTGAAGGCACAGAGAAGATGGGCAACCAATTTCACACTATGTTGGGGGATCTTAGGAGGTTGCAACAGAACAAGTGTGCAACTGTTGGTGCCACTCACATGGACAGTGATCTTTAAATGTTTTTGTTCTTTTTTATCTTTACACTAAATCAGAGTATTCAGCTCCAGTCTCTGATGCACATCCCATCTCTCAAAAACAGAAATATCAGTCAAAAGGGAGGAAATACAAGATTATCAGGAACAAGACTAGCTGTCTGCCCCACCCAGAGACGAGATGTCTGCCCCACCTGGAGACCAGCCCCCATATAACTGGCCTGTCATCTCTGTTCTGTAAGATGAGTTTTAAGGACATTAGTCCACCATCTTCCATCTTTGCTGGCAAGAGCAAATGAACGCTTTCTATTCCACTGACTCGCCTCCTGACTTTTTGGCTAGTCTTACAGCAAGCAGAACGAGCCTGCTGCTCGGTAACACAATGGAGTTGTGGATAAAGGCAAGAGAAGAGTTGGGGCAATGGTGCTGTCACGGAGGAATGTTGAATGAGCATGCTGCAGAGTCACAAGGGGGTGATCAGGAATGGAATTTGTCACTTCAGAGGTGAGCAGTTTTGGGTGATGGCAAAGTCCAGTGTGCACCGTAGAAGTGTGAGGTGGGATGGAGGCAAAGATCTTGACAGGTGGGAAGGCCAGGGAATTGAATGGGTCACCCACAAGACACTGCAGTGTCCAGGGTGATAGCAGGATTGAGGCAGACATGAGGACCGTGAACCAGAAGCCATTACAAAGTCTGTAATGAGTGCGAAAACTTGTCAGGGATGGGTAGAAGAAACTCTAGCAGAGGAGAGAGAGCAGCCAGGCTTTCCTAATAAAGGAAAGGGTTATTACCACAGCCTTCCAACTCTCCCCTTTCTTCAAGTGGACCAAACCTAGAGCCGATTAGTATTTCCCAAGCCCAACATTGATTATGACACTCCTCAGCCTTAAACCCCTAAATGGTAACCGACGCAATCCTCCATAGGGACCCACTTAGTTCTCACTAATCCTGCCTTGACCCACACTAAATGCTGACGGATCAATAGGCTCACCTCTAGCTCATCTAGCAGCTCCCTGCAAGTTAGAAGAAATTTCTAAAAATCCTTTTTTGGATGATTACAGCCCAGGGGCACCAGCTTGGTGAGGGGACAGTCCCATGGTGTTTCCTCCAGGCAGAAGCAGCAACGCCACACCACACAGCTGATGAGCGGATCATGGGCTGAATTTCAGCTACACGTACAGCCCCTAAAAGGGAAGCAGGAAAGTCCTGTAACTGGGGGGAGGACGTGTTTGGAAGGTGGCATAAAATTGGCCCAAGGAGAAGGAGAATCAGCTATGGAAGTGCTTAAGGCCAAAAGAGAAGGTCAAAGAAAACTCGGGAGGAAACGCAAATGAGTCTTTCAAAAAAGACTCATGTGGACACCAGGCATATTTGCTCTGGTGGAAAGTAAACAAGCAGAATTTTTACAATACTCCCAATGGAGTAGTATTTTTATTCAAACTCTTCTGTACTAACTGTAGGGGTCACGTGGTGGTCCCGGGTTCTCTGTGCCCTTAAACACCCCCACATTGCTCTTGGTCAACCTCTGGTTTTTCTCTTTCATTCACTGCTGTTACTGGGAAGTCATTTGGACCTGGGCACCCTGGAGTCAGTTTGAGTATGTGAGTTCAGAGTCCAGCAGGATGAAAACAGTGTCGTTAGACCATCCCATGACTTACACTGAAGCTTTCCAAGACCCAAAGAGGACACAGCCAATGGCGTTGCTCTGGCACCTCCTTTGAGTACCCCTAGGGAGGTTCCAGAAAATTGCTTTACAACCACCAAGCCCTCTCACAGTTATCCTTGTGTATTTGCTTTTGCACTTGGTAGTTTACCTAGCTTGCCTCAGTATCCGTACTGACTGAGGATTTTCTTCAATCTTGTTGAAGGCAATGGACAAACAGGATCTCTGGTGACTGAACAGGCTTCCAATTTCGGGAAGCCCTTCAGGAAAGAAGAGCATTTATGATCTGGGAACAGGGTCCAGAAGACATTTTGAAATTCATCTCAGGTTTACAGAGTCCCTAACACCACATCATTTTAGAGTGAAGCACCAAGAATAACAAGAAAAGGAGGAACTGGTCATTGCAAAGAAGGAAAGGGAAGTAAACTCGATGGCTCCAGGTGGCTTTTAGAGACATGCTGTGCCCCAGCTGAAGGAAAGAAAAGCCAGGCTTTAGGCAGAACTCCTGCTAGTTCAAGGGTATTTCCTGAGTAGGCTGAGCCAGTAGGGTGGGCCAGAGAGCTGGTGCGGTCTGGGTGTTCTGCCAAGGCGTGACAGCGACCGCCCAGGTGCACAGGCATCCTCTCAGTGACGCTGTACTAACTGAGCATATTTGCATAGTCAATGTCCCACCCAGCCGGATGTACTCAAAGCTAGGGCTTCTGGAGCTGACAATCTTCTCTCTGTTTCATCTACCCTCTTCCCCTGTGTCATTCTTCCCTTCATCCCTGTCTGCTTATCCTCTGTCCTCTCCTTCCTACAATCATTCATTCATTTATTCATCCACTTAATTTCTACGTCCAGGCACAGGAATGGAGTGGGAAGACACTTGCTAAGACTCTCTTTAAGCCAGCCATTATGAAACTCGACTTTCAGGAAGTTGTACCACAATAAAATATAATGAGTCTTATGAGGGAGGATGTAGATGGTGCTATGGTGCTTATGCCTCCCTCCCCCTCCCCCATCTCATTTTCCCTTTCTTCCTCATGTCTCCACGTAAACGCTCATCCTCTCGCCCCGGACTTGCATTTCTTTGCTCCTTTTCTGTCCTCATCTCTTTGGTCCTCTCTCATCTCCCCAAGCCTCCTTTTCCTGCTGTCCTCCCTTCCTTTTTTGCCTCCTGTCTGTCCTTTCTTCTATCTCTCTGCCTCACCCTGAACCTTGCCAATTCTCAATTCTCATTTTAAAAGACACTTTGCCCACCTCCAGCCCCCAAGTGCACACACTCACACATCTGTGCAGCCACCGCCCTGCTCACACTTTCAACATGCCCCCGGGGGTGTTTGATCCCTGTCCCATGGGAACAGGGGAAGCACGGCTGCTTCCTCTCACTGGACTCAGATGCCAAGACACATAGAATTCATAGGACTTAGAGTTTCACGGTGAGCCAGAATCAAAAACAAACCCCAGAATTTGTGTGAACAGGTTAAAATTTGGTGAACCTTGAGGACATTATGCTAAGTGAAATAAACTAGATGGAGAAAGACAAATACCCTTTGATCTCACCTGCATGTGGAATCTAAAACGAAGAAAGAAAAACTGAGCTCATAGACGATGAGGATCAGGGCTGCCCCCGGGAGAGAAGCCCAAGGTGTCCTGGCCTACATGACGATCTATATCATCCTCTTGGAAGCATAGGACGTCCTGACCTGATCCGATCTGATTCATATCCAAAGTTATAGGACCACCCGATAACCAGACCCCACCTACACAGATACCGTTTTAATAATTTTTTACATAATCTTTCCTTTGTCTTGTAAAGAGATAACTCACATACCTATGCCTTATAAATTTAGCCCTACCCTCAACCCATATTTGCAGCTCCTCGCTGCCCATGGGCCCTGACCCCACGCTATTCTCTGAATAAAGGGGCAATACTACCAGACCTTGAGAGTCCAAGAAATCTTTCTTCCAACTCCTTGGCTCGCAGAGCCTGCAGCAGTGATACGGAGAACAGACTCGTAGTTACCGGGGGAAGGTGTGGAGGGTCAGCGAAATGGGGGGAGGGGGTCAAAGGAACAAACTTCCAGTTGTAAGCAGGTCCTGGATATGTGCTGTACAGCATGGAGACCATAGTGAATAATACCTATTGCATATCTGAAAGTTGCTAAGGGAGTAGATCTTCAAAGTTCTCATCACAAGGGAAAAAAATTGTAACTATGTGAGGTGACGGATGTTAACTAGACTTATTGTGGTGATCATTTTGCAATATATACCAATATTGAATCATTACATTGTACACCTGAAACTAATATAATGTTATATGTAAAGTATCTCTCAATAAAAAAAAGAGGTTAAAATGTGGCACACATCAGTTTATAGAGTGCTTTCTGCGTATATTTCCCGACCCTGTGAGGTCAGGTAGGGGTCTTCTCTTCATCTGCATTTACACGTCAAGAGCCTGAGGCTGAGAGAGAGAAGCACCTGCTCCAAGTCAGGCAACCATCGCAGTCATCTCAGGATTCGATCTTAGGTCCTCTAACCAGCTACCATTAGTTCCTGGTAGGAGCTCATAGCAAAATGGAAGGAGGCCTTTGCCCCAGAGCTTGTCACCTCTATTTCACAGCCCCTGTCACACAAAGGCCTAAGGACAGGCTGTGCCTAGATGCTCCTGAGCCTCTCAGGGATTGTCATTCTGAGCCTCAGTCTCCCTGCATGTATGTGTTTATGATCAGGCATGTGTACAAGTGTAGACACACCGCTCCCCCCCACTCACACAGACACACTCTGCTCCCCTCCCCTCAACAGTTTGCTCTGCTTCGCACTAATTCTCAATGCTTACCTCTCATTCAGAGGAATAGAATTCAATGCCAGATGCTTAAATGGAGCAACTGAGAGATAAGAACCTGACCTTTCACTCATTTTTTCCTCCATACCCTTTTTTTTGTTTGTTTTCCTAAACACACACACACACACACACACACACACACGATCCCCTCCAAGTTAGTGTTATGAACTTACTCAGGTGCTGCAAGTCCACTTCCAGGGGAGAGAGTCTCTTGATCACCGCCTTGTTCCATTCAAACTTAGGCAAATAAAGCTCCCTTTGGAGACTACTTGGAATTACCTTTTGTAAAGTCCCCTTGGTATAAAATACCAGGAGAAGATTGACAGCAATGGCCAGAGTCAGCCCAATGCAGAGGACTTTGGAGACATTTCTCCTGCGTGTCATCCCTGCCTCTGACTCTGCCACTCCCAAGGGGCTGAGTGTGTCACTACCCAGGCAGGCTAAGGATCAGAATCAACTGAGCCTGGTCTCCGCCGGCTGCATGGATGACACCCTGTCTGCTGAGCCAGATGATCTTCAGGTGGGAAAGCTGTCACAGCTGTCTGACTTCTCCCTGAGCCAAGTCAGGTGGAGTGTGCCAAGCAGCCATCCAATGACTGGCAGGCCACGCAGGCACATGTTGCAATGACTCAGAAGTCAGGTTAACACCTGCTCCCAGAGCTAGCTCAGACTGCAGGGTGTAACTATGTACGTGACGCATGTTCTCTCTGTTCTTTCTGGTTTTGTCTTGGTTTTTAATGTTCCCTCTCCCAGGTAAAACCACTTGGAAGACTCTCTGAAAGGTCTTGTAAGGTGTGGTCCCGAGAGGAGATAAATACTATGAAAAAAGGAATCCACAAGGAGGAAGCTTCTGTACTACATGCTTTCTTGAGGGCAAGGATCACGTCTCAGATGTCTTTTAGCTCACTCTACACAGTCTTGAACATAGTCCATATGCAACAATTGTCGGCTCAGTAAACTTGAGGAGAGACTTTCCTCCTGGTTCCACCTAGAAGCAGGTAGATGAGCTGGAGGTGGCCCCTAGAGGTGAGCCCCAGGGGATGGCCCTGCTTCTCTTGTCTCTGCTCGTCATCTGTGCAGCTCAGCACACTGACGTTCTCTCCTGCCCCAGCTTCCAGTAACTCTTCTGCCTCCACACCTCACACTCATGACATGTTTTGGACAAATCACTTCATTATCATCATTATAGATTAAACACTTAAAATTGTTCCCCAGAGCCCAAAGTTTACAGTTCTCAATCTAGTGTTGGGTCCCTCCGTAATCATAACTTTCACCCTGGCCCAACCCCTTGGACTCCCTTACTAGGTCCCCACACACAGCATATGCAGACAAAAGCTGAGGCAGATATGTGGATTAAAGTAAAGAAATGTGGCTTTAGGAAAAGCATGTAGAATGAAAAAGAACAAAATGAAAAATAACCAGTTTCTTTTGTTTTTCATCAAAGTCTTTCCCAAGCTCTCCCCTGCAATTTGGAGTCAAAATAAATCCAGAAATGCATGCTTGCTTCCATTTCTGTTCCAAGATAGAGTAAATCCAATTATCTCTATTCTTCCTCACTAAGTGCAACTAAAAACTCTGTACACTATATATAAAATAAATATATGAAGACTCTGAAAGGTGTAGAAAAGAGGGCAGACCAGCTAGAGATCTCAGGACCTGAGGAACAACATAACAGTGAGTTCCCTGGATTTTCTTTTTGCCTAATATGTCATAGACCAGATGCTGGAGAAGTTGCCAACCTGTAAGTGCCAATGGGCAGACAATAAAAGTCCAAATAAAAGCCTGCTCTCTCCAGCCAAAGGAACAGGAAAGGGGCAGGCTAGCAAGACAAGAAACATTCAGACAATAACTGCCCTACTTCTGCTGAACACCACTAAAAACCTTGCTGTGCCATGTCCATCCCATTAACAAAGGTCACATGAAAAGCCTTGACTTCCACTCTCATCCCCAGCTGTGACGAGGTGCCTCTTCCTCCATCCCCCTCCAGGATGGTGTCAGAAAAAGCCTAGTAGGGAGTCATAACTTTTACCCTTGTCCCCCAATGATGTCAGTAAGGGAAGAGTAATGAAGTGGCTCTCCCTCTCTTAGCCGGTGTGGTGTCAGCAGAGGCCTAGTGGGGAACCTGAACTTCCTACCTCAGCCAATAGTAATGAGACATCCCTCCCCCTAGGTGTCAATGGAGGCCGAGTGGGAAACCTGGACTTCCACTCCCACCTGGCAGTAACAAGATGGCATCTCCCTTTCCCCACCAGAGCAGCATCCGACAGTCCTGCTAAAACAGAAGATTTAAATAAGATCCAGAGTCTCACACCATAATAGCCAGAATGTCCAATTGAAAACCACTTGTCATACCAAGAACCAGGAAAATCTCAACTTCAGTGAGAAAAGATAATCAATAGACATCAAATGCAATATGACACAGATGTTAGAATTTAAAGATTTTAAAGCAGCCATCATAATTGGCAAGCAGTTACAAACATGCTTCAAACAAATGGAAAAATATTAAGTCTCAGCAAAGAAATAGAAAGTCTCAGGAAAGAAATAAAAGACATAAAGTAGAACCAAATGGAAATTTTAGAACTGAAAAATACAATAAATAAAATTTTAAAATCACTAATGGTGCCTCAATAGCAGAATGAAGAAGAGAGAGAAAAGAATCAGGGAACTTGATTAGAAGATAGGACAATAGAAATTACCCAGGTGGAACAACAAAGTGAGAACAGCCAAAAATAATAATAACAGAACCTCAAGAATCTGAGACTACAACAAAAGATCTAGTATTTCATCAAAGTCCCAGAAGAACAGGTGAAAGTGTGAAGCTAAACAAGAATTCAAAGAAATAAGGGCTGAAAATTTCCCAAAACTGACAAAAGGCATAAATCTACAGACTCAAAAAGCTGAGTGAACCATGAATAGGATAAACTCAAAGAAATCTACACCAGGACACATCATAATCAAACTTCTGAAAACTGAAAACAAAGAAAAATCCTTGAATGCAGAGAGAAAGAAATGAGAGCTCACTTATAGGGAAAAACCATTCAAATGACAGCAGATTTCTCATCAGAAATCACAGAGACCAGAAGAAGTATCACCACATTTTCAACTGCTGAAAGAAAAGAATGGTCAACCCAGACTCCTCTATCCAACAAAAATACCCCTTTGGAACAAAGGGGAAGTCAAGACTTGTCAGACAGAAAATTAAGAGAATTTCTTGCTAGTAGACTTACTCTAAAAGAAAGTTTACAGAAGATTTTCAAAATGAAGAAATAACAAAAGAAGAAATCTTGGAACATTCAGAAGAAGGAAAGAATATATGAGTAAATACAAGACTTTCTTTCTCGTCTTGAGTTTTCTAAATTATGTTTGACAGTTGACACAAAAATCGTAACATTGATGAGGTTCTCAAAGTGTGTAGAAGAGATATTTAAGACAATTGTATTATAAATGGGAGAGGGTAATAAAGGGACTTGAAAGAAGGTAAGCTTTCTATATTTCACTTGAACTGGTAGAATGATGACACTAGTAGGCTGTGATAAGTTATGTGTGTATAGTGGTGATGGAATAGTTCTAAAGTATCCTGATTGTAGCGGTGATCTCATGAATCTACACATGTGATCAAATGGCACAGGAGTGTATGCACACAGCATCAATGTCAAATTTCTGGCTTTGCCATTGCAGTATAGTTATATAAAAAATATCCATTGGGGGAAATTGGATGAAGGGTACAAAGACATACACTGTATTATTTTTGCAAATTTTTGTGAATCTATAGTTATTTCAAAGGTTTTTTTTTTTTAAGTAAAACATGATCCCTACCCTAAAACTTAGGCCACTTTCTGAAATAACAAACACTTCATTAAAAACACACAGAAGAATTGTGGTTACCACTGGGGGTGGCAAGGGCTAGGAAACTGAGGGATGGAGGTGGGAATGAGTCTGACTCTTCACTGCACAGTTTTTTTATATATCTTAAATTTTGTTTCATGTTACATGACTTATCTATTGAAAATAAATAGGATAATTTAATAAAATTGCATCGTAACCTTTGACACTTTATTGCTTTCTAGAATAGCACAGAAGTTCACTCAACTAGAGAAACCAACAAGCATTTCTTTTCCTGTGGTCTTCATTTGCACCAAAGGGCCATGTGAACATCTTTGTAGGAATCCTGAGTGTCCTCTCATGCATCCCATCACTGCTCAGAACACTGGGGCAGTGGTCCTCACATGTTCAAGGTCATAAAAATCACATGAGTATCTGGGTAACAATGCAGATGTCTAGGTCCCAAGCCTACAGATTCTAATTTTGTAAATCCATTATGGGACCTGGGAATCTGCATTTTAATAAGTGCTTCATCTGAATAAGCTTACATCTCTGCCCCAAGAAGTTCACAAACCCATGGAGGAGGTGGACTGATTTACAGTAGAATCAATGTGATTAGAACCCTGTACGTAGGAGGCACCAACATGGGCCAAGGGCCACCAATGGGCAAGCGACCATTCTGCCTGGGTTTGTGGCATCTTGAATGGTAGGTAAGTTTCAGTACCTCCAGCAGAAGGAGCAAGTATAAGGAAGGTTATGGAGACAAGAAAGTACAAATCATTTTAATCAGGCCAAATAATAGTTCGTTGTGTTCAGAACGTAGAGATGGGGACTGGGAAAAAAATAACAAGAGCTGTTCATCTCATTTTTGTTTATAATAGCAAAAAATAATAATAATAAGCTGACTGAAATGTCCAACCACAGGGGAATGGTTAAATAATTTATGATACATTAATGGCTGAGTATATTATGGTACCTCCACTCTATAGAATATTAGAATATTACGGGCGGCAAGAAGAGACTGTTGCAGAAAATACGGATGTTAGGCTAAGAGAGTGATTCTGTTACTCGCTAGCCATGAAAACTCAGGCTAGTTGTTTTACCTCTCTCTACCTTATTTGGCTTATCTGCAAAATGGGGCTACATAACACTCTCCTTTGCAGAGTTGCTGTGAAGTTTAAATGAGATAAACTTTGTAAAGGGTTTAGCATAATCAGTAAACATTATATATTAGCATTGTTGGTTTTTTTGTTAATTTTCTTTTTCTATTTTTTAGCTATTCTCTGATATTCTCATGAGGGAAAACATTTATAAATTAATGACATTTTATAGTAGGATCACCAGATGTGGTAGTCATCTGAAAATAGAGGCTGAGGGGAGAGAAGCAGTAAAAAGTGACCCTGAAGTTTCTAGCTTCAGCAATTGAGTGCTTCATCGTGCCCATAATGGAGGGTCTAAAAAGGAAGAGAGGAAGCATCAGGGGAAATAATTAGGTCAACTAAGGGTATGTTTCATTTGAAAGGCCTCCAAAAGATCAGTATGTCCAGCGAGAAAACAGAAATTTGGCTCTGAAGCTTTAGGGAGAGATCAAGGGCAGAAAATTTGCTCAGAAGAAATAAAGGAAGCTTTGGAAAGCAGAGTGTATTGGAATTAAACATAATAAT